TAAGGAGCGTTGGTGGTACAGTGGTTAACTGCTCAGCTGATGACCAAAATGTCAGCATATTGAACCCACCAGCCACTTAGCAGGAGAAAGATTAGGCCTCTGCTTCCATAAAGATTTACAGCCTTGGAAACGCTACAGGGCAGTTCTACTCTGCCCTACAGGGTTGCTGTGAGTCAGAATCAACTCAATGGCAATGTGTTTGGTATGGTTTTTTGATATATTTGGTTTGTTCTTAGAAATGTCTATTTGCCATGAGGAAAACATCTGGGTGGCATCTGTTTAAAGAGTTTCTTACTCCCAAATTCATAAACCTGGGTTCCTTATTCAGGTTCATAACTCTCTGAAACGGAATGTAAAGTTTGCATGTGTGTGCGCAGTTTTAGGAAGAGGATTCATTGTTTCTATCAGATCCAAAACAGAGTAAGAATCGTTACTCTTAACACCTCAGCTGCCTGCCAACTTGGAATCAGTGAAAAAGTCCCTTCAAAAATCAGTAGTATTCAATGGAAGAAAAGTGACCCAGGCTATGATTGCAGCCATCCAAAGCACGAGCAGCATCATTCAGCACTGGTTTTACCATAAGACGCCGCTTCAGGAACAAATTGTATCGTTTAGCATTCTGTTGAAGTAACCAATAGAGAGTTAGCAAATCTTATATAGGACCACAAGGAATATTCCAAAACACAGACACACAAACACAAACAACAAACCCTCAGTATCATTACTCTGTGAGTATATGGGAGTGTGTGTGTGTGTGTGTGTGTGTGTGTGTGTGTGAGAAAGACAGAGAGAGAGAGAGAGAGAGAGAGAGAGAGATTTAAAACTGGAAGGAGGAAAAGTATAGTATAAAGGAAAGAGGAGAAAAATAGGAAGAAAACAGTAAGGAATAAAGGAAAGAAAAAGAAGACATTTCAAGTTTCTCTAAATGCTTTATACAGTGACTTTACATAAAAATATCTGTGGAATTAAATTAGGGAAGGATAGAGAGAAAATATTGGAAAAAAGGAAAAAAGTCATTCAATTATGTAAACGCTGTTTTCTCAAATCTTCATTCACCGAGACCAGTATTTTTTTAATGCCAAGGCAATTACCTAAAAATATCTTTGATAACCAATAATATTTGAAAGAAAACCAAACCTGTGGCACAAAAATGCAAACACGTATGCATTTTGTAGCCTAATGAAAGAATAAATATTCTTTAAAAAATTATCATTAAATGGTTTCAATTCCTGTTATCAAAATTTTGCTTAAACTGTTATTTTCCTGGATTAAGTTGAAGAGGCCAAAGTTACAGGAAATTGATGGGATGAAAATCTCTATTATGTAAACTAAGGTACCTACTAGATAAGAGTACATTTAAAAGTATACTTTAAAAGTATATTTTAAATTATATTCATCTTTTGACCTACATATATCACTATAGCACTTTAATTTTCTTGGGCTCTTTCATGAGATTCACAACTACTGCTTTTCTCAGACGTTTTCCCTACATTTGTAAAAGATTTGTTAAGGGAAATGAAGTAGTCACATACTAGGGAGACCTGTGGGTCTGCATTATGACTTTCATGGACCCAAAGCATCTTTACCTTTGTGGGCCCCTTCCTCCATTAAGAGAGAGAGAGAGAGAGTGACAAATGGACTTCTATGAAAGGCATCTATGAAAAATACACAGTTAACATAATACTTAAGGGCAAAAATCTAAACTGAAAAAAAAAAAAAAAACCCTTGCTTTTGTAAAGACATTGTTAAGTAAATGAAAAGATAAACCACAAATTGGGAGGAAATATTTGCAGTACATACAACTGGTCTTACATACAAGGTCTTACATCCAGAATATATAGACAACCCTTAAAGTCAACAAGGAGATCATCAACCCAGTTTAAAAATGGACAAAAGATATGAAAAAAACACTTCACGAAAGATTCATGATTGGTCAAAGTGCCTATGAAAAGACGTACAACATCATTACTCACAATGGAAATTAGAATAAAGCCACGATGAGATCTCACTACCCATTCATTCATCAGTTTAGTCAGTTGCTGTCCAGTCGATTCCAACTAATACCAAGTCCACGTATGTCAGAGCAGAACTGTGCTCTGTAAGGGTTTCAAGGCTGTGAACTTTTGGAAGCAGATTGTCAGCCCTTTCTTCCAAGGTGCATCTCCATGGATTCAAACTGATGCTTTTGCACTAGCAGCAGCACTTAACCATTTGTGCTGCACAGGGACTCCTACCGATTCATTAGAATAAATAAAATTAAAAACCGACATGAAGTGCTGGTGAGTATACAGAGCAACTAGAATGGCCATACATTGTAAGTGGAAATGAAAAATGGTACAACCACTTCTAAAAACATAAAATTTCATATCCACATATACGTTCATATATACATAAATTCACACATAATACATTCTATGTGTGATATGATCCAGAAATTCTACCCTGAGGAAATTATTCAAGAGAAATTAAGATATGTGCCTATAATAAAAATACTGTTTAGGTATATGTTCATAACAAAGTTATTCTAATGGTCCCAAAATTGAACACTGCTGAAATATTCACCAACAGGTAAATAAACATATTTTGGTAAGCCCATACAATAAAATAGGAGCTTTGGTGGTGTGGTGCCTAAGGCACTTGACTGCTAACCAGAAGGCTGGCAGTTCAAATCCACCAGCCACTCCTCAGAAGGAAGGTTGGGCAATCTACTCCCGTAGTGATACCGCCTCGGAAACCCAAGGAGGGGTCATTGTGAGTCGGATCTAACTCGATGGCAGTGGGTATACAATAGAATACCACTCAGCAATAGAAAAGGAAAAAAAAAACAAACTACTGATACAGTCAACAAGAATCAATTTGTCAGTATCATTTGGAGTTTTAGATGAATCTCAAAAATATTATTCTGAACAAAAGACCAAAACTCAGGCACAAAATAGCTTACAGCATACAATTCCATTACATAAAACTTTAGAAAAAACTAATTTATAATGACAAAAAATAAATGTGAAGACTGTGTACTTTAGCTAACAATAAAGCATCACTATTAATCAATTAATTGTGACCAAAGCTAATTATGGGAGGAAATGGAAATGAATGTGCAGCACACAGGAAATCTATGTATCATCTTCTCAACAAATCTATAAATCCAAAATGAAGATTTTATTTTAAAAATAGTTTATTTTGACAACTTACTATTTAACTATAACCAAAGACAGTATCAACATAAAAAACCAAAACCAAACTCACTGCCATCGAGTAGATTCCAACTCATAG